ACTTCATTTCTGAATGTCATCATTCTGTTAACAGAATTATTGCTGTTATGTGGAGGTTACTGCTGTTCAAGTAAATCAAAGTAATTTCAAAATCAGATGCATTGATGCCTGATTATAATGGCCATATACAACATAATAAATCATATCTTCATATGTTCAGAACTTTTTAAATGATTCAGAAATTTCTAAATGATTGTATCATTTCAAAACTGCATTTGGTATAACTTAACCAAAATTTTATTTTCATCTGCAGTTCAGTATTATACTTCTGTTATATATGACATGGTCAATAACAAACTTTGCCATTGTAACTGCTGATCTGACTGCTGTATGCATGAAAAAGCCTGTCCCATATGAGACAATTAGCATTCTCTTTTCCATTCAGAAAAATTTATAATTGTCTGCTGGTTTGGTGCCACACTTGTCAAACTGATCTTCTGTATTTGCATTAAATATATCTGCAATGAATGCAATTAAATGACACATTCTCCTGTAACAAAATCCTGATATAATGATTTGATCATAAACATACCAAACAAGTACAGCTCCACTTACATTTATTATCCCTTACTGATCTCCATATGCTTCTAGTTACACCAGTATACACCAAACTCATCCACAAGGATTCACTAATGCATCAGTGTGGTTTCTGCTATACTTCAAAATCTATCACCATATTGACCAACTTAGACCCTGGTCATATTCCACCACATGTGTATATACAAGCTGTACACCTATTCCAATAATAATTATGTAACTATTCCAAAATTCAAACAAGATTTTAACATATTTCACAGCTCAGCTTCCAACTACATATACTTCATGCTGTCATACTAGTTACCACTAAATATCAACAATTCAATTATAAGTAGAACTCTTCTCACCCCCTAATTCCCCAATTTCCTGCATTTATCTAATTTAACTAAACCTATAACCATTTAAATTTGATATCCCTATATTTATTTTAGATTGTCTCCACTCCACAGATACTGAAGAGTCACTAAGTATTATTTGAGAAGTAGTACTTGGATGCAAGAGTGACTTAGACAGAAAGTTGTATCATAATTCTTTTAACCCGTAGAACATAAATTTATATTGTATGCTGGCCATATGTAATAATTGGATTGGATTCGACCAATCCAATTATATTTTATTTGTTATAAACTTCTACATAGCATTATCTTTTACCTACAAAATCACTCTGTATGCTTAAACAATAATATGTGTTTCACCTAATGATGACTGCATGCAGTGGAAACATGCAGTGAGAAAAAAAAAACTAAGTTTTTGTTACACGCTTGCGAGATGGCTGGTGTAATATATATATATATATATATATATA